CTTGGCTTAAAATAAGGATTCCAAAAATGGAAGTTTCCGTTCACGCCGAGAACCCTAACAGAAGGGACGAACACTACCTCGACAGCCGCTAGGGGGCTCAGATACAGGAGGCACGAGGCCGGTGAGATGCTAACACCAAAGAAACCGAGACGTCGGTAAGATCGAAAATCATAACCGAAATACGAGAACTACTGAAAAACAAGACAAACAGCATGCAGCAATCCCCTGTTTTGGACAGAAGCTCACAGTTAGGGAAAATGGGTTTCTGTCGGGCTAAAACTGTATGCAGCCGGTGTAGGAGTCAGTTTGTACATAGATATAGTTTCTGATTTTCCTGGTTTTTTTTTACAAAACGGGTGTAAATAAGGAGCGAGCAGTGGAGACATGGGGGTGATGGGGGTTAAAAAAGATGTGTGCGAAAGTAAATGCTATAGCAAGTAGTTTGCGGAAATGGCGAAACATTGCCGCTTGGGGGCGAGAATATGGTTCGAGTCGATGGCGAAAGCGTCGGAGGAAGGAGCGGGCACATGGTCCATGCAGGCGTTGTGACGTTTGCGGGGTGAAGAGAGGGTCAGCGTGATGTCACATTCATCCAGCGGTTGATGCCGGTGATCTGCCTCGAACTCGGTGAACATATCGGAGGGGTAGTCGAAATCTGGACAGAAAAAGACAGAGGTTGAGTGCCTCGGATGCGGAAAAAGAACAATCGGTTCGACAAGCACAGTCACAATGACTGCTCGGTTGTAAAACACCCCGATGATAGGCTTACTTCTGCATTCTTAAGAAATCCCACAGGATCTGTAAACTCTCACAAAGCGTATACGTCCCACGCATGATGACGGGTGGAAGAGCCGACCTGACAACGTTTATAGAGTCCTGCTACTGGTATGCGAAATTGCACTATATGATGTAATCCAGCCCTCCGTCTGGCTGTGAAGCGCGAGATACTATTTCGAGATGCGATGCAATTGTGAGATACAATGCGCATACATTCACACATATTGGCATGTGACAGAACCAACTTAGCGACGTCTCGGTAATTCCGTTTGTGATAGACAATGTTGAAAGATTCGACGCAATGCGGTCGGGCAACGGTAGGATGTAGGACTCCAACTAACTTTAACTAGCCTGTGGACCGTGTCATATGTTGAATAGTGGTAAAGGGGGTTTTACGGGTGGGACAAAACAGAAAATAAATAAATTTCTGCCAAAAGCTTTACCGTATGCCGTCATTTGGCAAAGAAAATGAGAGCAATAGTAAAAAAATAGACAAAAAGGAATTTTCAAAAAATGGACTTTAAATAAACCGCCGGTGGTAAGTTTACATTTAGTCCGGAAGGCAAGGGAATTTCAACCAATAGGAACGGTGAATAATAAGTGATGTGTACAGTCGCACTGAATTTTAGTGCACATCTTGGAGTTGCCAGCTACGTGGGGTCCTGTACTCTACCGTTACCGGGTAATGTATTGCTCTGCTTGAAGTAGGTTAGAACAGCGGAAAGATCGTCGGAGTCTGGGCATTCCAGCTTCTCTATGACAAATAACGAATATAAGCGACGGCGACGAACTACTCCCTAGTCGCGGTGTCTAGAACTCGTCTAACCAACTGACAATGAACGAACTCGTCGAAAAAATCGGCAATCAGTCAAATCGTCAAAGCAACGATAGTTTGGCAATGCCAAGTACATCGAAATAATGAGGTGGTTTCAGTCTATAGACAGAAGTCGTCGTCCTTCGAGTAGAAAATTACAAGAATACGCCATTTTCTACCGAATCAGTATAAGAATGAATATTTTTATACATGTTTTCCATGAAATACAATTTAATTTCTAGGGGTATCGAAGATCAATGAGAAAAAGGTATGTTACTTAAGTGCTCATTTTTTACAGAGTGCAGTTTTTGCATGCAGGAGCAAGTCTCTACACAACAACAGCACCGACCCACGTTATCGTTAGACCCCCAAAGCAATGAGTGGTGCTGACGCCAGCGGAACGGATTGCTCTGGCCATGCTTAGGTGAACGCTCGACTGTGGTTCAGACTACATTTTTTCGCGACACGACTTCTACGGGTGCCCGACACCGCCAGTTCCACCGGTCTATCTACTGCCACAGGCTTCAATCCTAGAGTCTCTGCCGCACCGACGCAGGACGAAGACGGCCTCCGTGGCATCGAAAGTAATTCGCTCGAACTCGAGCAAATCCCCAGGAGTTGCTATGCCACGATAGGTGTCGCTGCAGAAATCGCATCCCCTTCTACTGGCTGAGGGTGCAATTCCGCTTTCCTGCTGGGCAACCCCAAATTCAGAAACTTGCGTAGACAGGAAACGCGCTTTGGATGGCGAGGAAGGAAATTCTACTTCCCCAAACACAGCCCAACCACGCGTAGTACCGGCTGGCCGCAACAAACTGACGATAAACCAGTCCCCTATTCTGACGTTAAAAGTCCAACAGGACACTCCAGTGGAAGCAGCATTCTGTCCTCCTTCTGGACCCCGCAGACCCAGTTACCTCATGGGTCGTCTATCGCGGTGATTCACTTGTATCCGGGTATGACTGCAGCTCGCATACTCCTAGAGCCTGTAATTGGCACAGCTATGATCATACCTGACTTGGCCGGCCTCGATGATGCCACGAATTGCAATCCTCTGAATATGACGATCTGCGGCTCCGAATCTGGACAACTCGACATATTTTCTCTTCTATCAACCGTAAGCCTGGTAGTCATCTGGTGGATTATATATGTATTACTTGGGAAATCCTGCTTGGCCAGTCAGCTTACTGTATCAGATTTGGTGGATTGCAGACGTTGCAGTAGGCTGGGCAGGCGAACTTGACCCAAATGTGATTAAACTTTCGTCGCCCGGTGGTGCCTCATTGCTCTGATGGTATGAGCGTTGGCTGTGTTAACGCCTTCCCTTGCTGTCGTGGGTTAGAATCCCACCATGGCACCCAGTTTTTCACAATTTTGTCAAAGTGAATTATTTGAAATCTGTCAAAACACCTCCGAATACAGAAGGTTCACGAACCGCTTCCATGCATGGACGAACTGTGTCGAGCCAGGTCTTGACTCGCCTCTCATCCTTGCGTTGCCTCCAGGTGGGAAAAGTCGCCGGATCGGGAGCAACAACATTGAACTCACTAGGTGGACGACGAAGAATGCACCCAAACCACCTCTGTCGTCTTCCTTGAATGGCCTGAGATAATGCCGCAATGTTGTTGCAGTGAGTGCGTACTGTCTCGTGTGAAAAAAAAATGGTGTACCTAGCGCGAAAAAACAAATCTCTGGCGGCAGCAGCGTCAAAATATCTCCAGCTTTTGTTCATCTTCTCCAGCCTTCATAACCGTATAGGAGGACTGACCGGTACGTGCTGATCTTCATGACAAAGGAAATGTCGTGTTGCGTGCACAGACACCAAGGATAGTGGAAACTCTGTGAGCATCATTGATTAGCCAATTTCAGAACTGATATCCACCTGTTACGGGGATCACTAATTCGAGAGCAACACTTCAGAACGAGCCTGTAATGACTGACTCCCCACAGCATGCCAGTGGACTGACTTCACGGCACGCCAAGCGTGACCACAGACTAGAGCGATCCTATCGTAACCCCAAACCGTCACAAAAAGTAACAGACCACTGCTCGCGGGCTGCCGTGGCAACGGTCGCCCTTACACGGGAATTCCTATGGTCGATCATGATGCATTATGACGTGTTACTGAGGCTACTGCACTTTATTCGCGTCTACCACCCCAAGGAAAAAAGGATTTGACTGAACGGCGAGGGGAGTGAAGTTTGTGGTGCCAACTCCGGAGTCCATGAGGGATGTGTTCTTTTGTCGGCATTATTCAGAAACTACCTCCTAGAGCTTGCCTTGTTGTGCGTCGGTAAGGGAATGGGTCCATCAACGTGTCTCGGGTACGCAGGTTTCTAAATGAAGTCACGGAACAATTATTAACACGGCTTTCGCGGTCGGAGATACCAGCTCAGTCCCGAGAGACGATGGTTCCGAGTAACACGACCGTCAACTAGGTGGAACTTTCTACCGAAGATCTGACAAATTAAGCGCGGAGCCTTTGCTTAGCTGGAATCGACATCGTGAGCTCTGTCAGAATGCCAATATTCGACTATACGAGGTCCCAACCAAGACAATCCGTCTGCACGCTCAGAAAACAGCAACCACTGAGGAGTATTGCGCCATACCCCCCGACGAACTGCTACATCATCAATTAGGCGCACAGCCACCCAACTGAACCGTCCTTACTCGCCTACTAAAAAAAGAGAACCCGGTCACGTGATGCGCCGGCCCGGAGGCGGAGGCTGACCTTGAGCGCGTTTCTGGCCCTGTGACCTTCGATCCGCGTGAATGACGTACCAAATGGTTTTACGCAATTTATAAATTGCAAAAGGCTGCCTGCCGAAGTAGTGACGATGGATGCCGTCACAAGTGCATGTAGGATAGGCAATCATCTACGAACCAATCAAATGGCAATTACCGCGGATTTTCTGCCTTCGCTGAGAAGTTCAACCACATGAATAGTTCGGCAAAAGCAAACTGGTCGTCTGGTCTCACTAAAAAGCCAGATCGGAAGGCCAGTCCGGCGATAGCTGCTTTGCAGCTGGAAAGAACCATTTTTACAGTGAGATGTTCCGTTTGTGTTAATGTTACCGTCTGGCTGCATGGCTTATCCTTCCACTCGGACAAATTTAAGGGAATTAGAACTTGCGTAGTAGTGAAAAGAACATGTTTTAGTCAGCCCGGCTGCTGGCGGACTGTAAAGACGCGAAAAACGCCAGTGCTCAAAATCCTTTTAGAATGCGTTAGGGAGATGTGGTGTTAACGAAAGAACAAATCTGAGGAAAATGAAGTGCTCACCGGATCGAGGGACTCCATCAACTCCAACAACAGACATCTAGACCTTCTTTCGGCCTATAAAGTCCTACGTCACTGCATACGCCGTGACGAAGACAAGACGGTCATACGGAGTCTAAGACTACCGAGCAAACATGGCCTGTCGACCAATTCACGCAAAAGGGGGACGCAAACGCAACTAACCCAAATTGAGGTGACGACACACAATACAGGAGGCCACCAACACTCACAGGCGACGGCCAGTAGGCCAAGGCAGCGAAAGAAGAAAAAAATCGATCAGCCCAAGGCCAACTAATGCGGCCGTGTATTCAAAATTCTGATCGATTTTTTCATTAGACGCTTTGATAATGGGGAGCCGCCCAGCTCTTCGGAACGTCAGCCAAACAAGTCCCTCGGTCTGGTGAGTACTTCATTTTCCTCAGATTATCGACCCGGATCTCTTACTATTGCGAACCTGAGCGAAAGAACAAATATTGCAGGAGAAGGTGCAATTCCCACCTTCTTCCAAGCATGGATGAGTTCACGTGAACAACACTCCTGCGGGGAGAAATGTTGACGACGACAGGTAAGACTGCGGTGGCAATTCGTGGTTCATTAGCCATCGCCGGCTAGCCATGCCCAACTCTAGGTTTGTGCGGCCTGGGATTCGAGTCCGGACTCCCTGGTCATTGAGCACTAAGCTCGACTTTCCACGGGCTCGCTGTCTGGTCGGTTGCGGTCGGGAATATTAACTATGGTGGAAGGGCGTTCATCGATCAAGCTATGGGGCATGTTCACTCCAACAGCGAAACGGCTCACATTTAAGTGATTTGGGCGTGAGACCGCCAAATAGAAGTGGACTAGAATGACAATTTCTGGCTTATCCATCATTATCAGTCAATCCCAGGAGCTGTCGAGCCCGAAGTTTGAGACCGAATCTAGTGAGTTTAAGTCAGGCGTCCTCATCCCTTCAGTTGTTCCTGCGCAAATGCCACTCAGCTGAATTGACTCACAGAAAGTACAACCTACAGTAGATGTGCTAACTCATGAAATGTCAACCAAAATTTCGAAATGCTTTCTCGTTTCGAAAAGATCAATTGAGTAGTGTTGTAAAACCAATCATGATGCAGCATAAATCTATAATGATCCAGTTACCTCAGGGTGTCGGCTTTCGAAAGAACTTACTTTCGGCTGCATGCAAGATCTATACTCTGCAAAAAATGACTACTTAAGTAGCATGCAAATTTCTCATTGATTTTCGATGCCCTTGAAAATTCAATTATATTTTATGGAAAAAATGAATAAAAATATTCATTATTTTACTTATTCCGCAGAAAATCACGTCTTCTTTCAATTTCATACTCAAAAGAAGAGTATAATTCGGTCTTAAAAAAGTTTCTAATTGTGAGATTTTTTAATACCGTTAAATGGCCGTTCATGAAACGTCATGTATCTGCATTTACGAATATGGCTTGTAAAGTCAACAATATTGATCAAATCCACTGCTTTATTTTATGAACTTCATATAGTCTCCTCTTAACACCGTAGAGAAATGCATGGTTTTCCGTACACGGAAAATATACAGCTTGTAGTTTTAAAACCCTGAATGCAAGTGTAACAACAGGTCGGGTTGTAGATTATTCGGGAATTAGAAAAGTTTTTTAAAACCGAATTATACTCTTCTTTTGAGTATGAAATTGGACGAAGACGTGATTTTCTACCGAATAGGTAGAAGAATAAATATTTTTATGCACGTCTTCCATATAATATAATTGAATTTTCAAGGGCATCGAAAATCAATGAGAAATTTGCATGCTACTTAAGTAGTCATTTTTTGCAGAATATAGAGCTTGCATGCAGCCGAAAGTAAGTTCTTTCGAAAGCCGGCACCCTGAGGTAACTGCATCATTATAGATTTATGCTGCATCATGATAAGTTTTAGAACACTACTCAATTTATCTTTTCGGAACGAAAACGCATTTCGAAATTTTGGTTGACATTTCATGAGTTAGCATATCTACTGTACTTTGACCGAGAAAGCCGCACATAGTGGACGCTGGCAGCGGCCCGCTTACGTCGATTGCGTGAACACCTCATGCTACCTATTCCAGCTCACTTGTTATTAGACTTGGGGCATAGATGCATCAGTATTTGGAAAGTGGCTTAGACAATGCTCCAAAATCGGCGCCATGATCCGATCCAACGAAAAAATCTACCTTCCTACAGGGCTACCTTGGCGGTCGGAACCATTCGGCCCCAGTGCCATCTGCCGCATTCAGTAAAGAAGTTGCGGAATTGGGGGAGCCTTCGAAACGTCTAAACGAGGACTATTGAGACCCTTTGGAAGAACACGACCAGACGGCTGTACTGACTCCCACACAAATTATTAATTCGTCGGGTATGAAACATGAGGGCATGAAGTAGGAGAGACATCGGGAGGGCGCAAAAAGGCTTACCTGTTTCGGGGTCAGCAGAAAACGGAGAGATAACTTGGGGACTTGGGTTCTCCTCCGAAAAAATTAGAGGAAGTGGGACTGGAAAGACCGGCTCCCTCGGTACAGTCTCCGAGGGCTGCGAAAATGCACTGTTGTTGTTAAGTCCGTTGAATTCTAGGTCCTCCCACGGTAAAGGAGGCCTGAGTTCTTCGTCCGGAACTGAGAATGGTTCTGGATGGAGCTGAGAATCATCGACACTCTGGGACAGACAGGGATTTCCCCAGAGTATTTGTCGCGCCTTGAGAGCCGTGAAGGCTATGAGAAGGCCACGTTGCAAATGCAGACCTGCACGGGACTTACGTCCCTCATCAAGTTTCCGCATGGATGACAACAGGATAGTTTCTGCTGCCAAGCGCTCATGAGTCCCACATTGTTCGGTAATCCGACACAGGTTCCCGTCTAGGCGGACACCTTGAAACGCAGAGCCAAGCATAGCGGCTACATATGACGTCGCAAAGATCGCAAATGCGCAGCTTTGCCTCCGCCCGCGTGTTAAGCGGAGGCTGTGATTCACGTGATTAATTTCTGGCCAATTAGCAGGCCGCAATTAACCAGGTGGTCATTTTATTGGTTGACTTTCGCGCGTGTTCGAGTGATGCTCGAATCACGCCCGCGTGTTATCGACCAATCGGATGTCGGATTTTTAAATGCGTCATCGGTTCTGGGGTCATGCTTTTGCCACCACCGCCGCCGCCGCCGCAGGTGACGTATGTCATGAACTAGTCGTTGGTCCTGGCGCCGTTTTGCCTGCCGTTCATTCACGCATTCACGTGGGAACGCACGGTCGAGATGCACGCGCGCACGCGTGTCTGGCGTGATGCTAACACTCTTCTTCACCAGTCTGCGGTCCAGGCTGCAGAGATGCCTGTAGAGGGAGATGGCGGCCGCCTCGAAAAAGCCGAAAGGCACGTCTTCTTGCATCGCATAATATGCTATTTTATACACATTTATGCTTAAGCACTAGATCTTTTATCACACAAATTAAGTGACTTCGGCGAGGTACCGTGGAAGCAAATAAGTCAGTCCAGAATCGGTCTTGCGTGTTGGACACAATCGAAATAAACGTTAGACCCGTAACGAGTGATGTCTTAACGACACGGTGGTGACTGGCGTGAAGTATTACCACCCTTTGTGTCAAACAGCGGACTAAATTACATTTAAAGTTTAACGGTACGAAACTCTCAAAGTTGGTGCATTGCCCGAACCAGGTTTTCTTACGATGGACGCTACTTCGAATATGGCCGTCGGGCCTTCTGCTCAGAAGAGCATCCAGAAAGGGAAGCGTGAATTAGTTATTAGTGAGGGTGACTGGCATGACTTATACCTCACCCCGAGTTTACGCATATCATGTTAGAAAAGCCAGTAAGGCCACTGTGCGCAGTTCGATCTCGAAGATACTTAAAAAAAGAATTTGTCTAAGTACTTAGGATGCGATTGCAGCCTTCTTGGAAAGAACATTCGCAATCGTGTCCACTTTGTGTTCACCGCAGCAATTTGATCAAAAGCTTACACCTTTTCGCAAAATAAGAGCCAATTTTATTTTTGAGCAGGTTATCGCCTCCCGCGAGAATTTCGGCCTCGTCGAATATGAATGTGTGCTCGGATCCCCTCTATCACTCTTGTCTGCCGCTGATGATGGATGCGGGTGAGAATCCGTCAGGTTTTTCAATGATCGCAACTTCTAGAGTAAGGTTACTGCGCCTCTGTGTAGTATGTATGCAAAACAGAAGCCTGGTTGCAGGGGAAACATGCAGTGAACATTCAAGAGAGCACAAGTGTTAAGTCCTAGACGAGGCGGCAAAGTGCATTGCGTGGGGAAACATCATAGGCCGGAGGGCGGCCAATCAGCACCTACAAGTTCCAGCCATGGCCTTGAGCGTTGGCTTGCCAGGTGCATGTCACGTGACTCCGAGACACCACGGGCAGTACATAGTGCACTATCTTGTCAATAACCGTTTAAACGTAGGGGAGAGGGACGACAGAGAATGCGGGTAGATGGATGCAATACTGTTTCGACTTATGCCGCCTTTACCTAGCCAATCATAACCCTGGCCACCAGCTGGGACCAGATGCACAAGCATGTGTTCGTGCAGGGCTGAATAAGCCCGAAACAGTACTGTATCAAGCTACCCACATTCTCTTTCGTCCCGGCGCCTCTGTTATTATTAACTTGGTCGACTTCGGTCTGGTAGTTGGTTACCTGTAAGCGGCCTTTGCCACTCTCACGGAGCTGCTTTGCTTCGGGAGGCCAGTAGATGGGCGTGCGCCCATTACCGATTACTTAGACGGGTGTCAGCCTCAATCATAAACGCTGGTGCTGTCTTTAGCCTTCGAAATTCGTCCATCTCTACCTCACTTAAGAGCGTACCCTTCCACGACAACCAGCCATGCTACTGAGAATTAAATCTTTCTACTCACCTCAAGTCTGACTATGTCTCCTTTGCCTTACGACGAAAACCTCGTCCCCTATCTTGAAGTACCCTCCTCATTTCTTATCCTCAGCGTGCTTCTTTGAAGGTCGCAGTTCCGTGGTATCTTATACTGTAGGCTCCACCTGTTTATCAGTGTCGCTACTGATGTAACGCACTGCAATATTGTAGGCTTTCACTCCAAGATTTCGCCTCCCCTTTTTCTCCCTCCTCGCCTATCCCCTCTTCGCCCTCTTCCTTCCTTCGTCGTCGTCGTCGTCGTCGTCTTCTTCTTCTTCTTCTTCTTCTTCTTCTTCTTCTTCTTCTTCTTCTTCTTCTTCTTCTTCTTCATGTTCTCAGTCCAGCAGCCAAAACCTGAGAGGTCAGTGCCAAAAATGTTTCCAACATTCACGTGGAAACAGTCGGTTCTCCCTGTTTGTGGAAGTTATCCACAAATGCAAACTGACAGACC